TGGGTAGGTATTACAGGTACTGTCCTTCTATGGTTTCAGTCCTACCTCACTGATCGGAGCTTTTCGGTTAATTTAGGGGAATTCAACTCAGCTATGGCTCCTCTCACCTCCGGTGTCCCCCAAGGCTCCATTTTGGGCCCCAGCCTCTTCTTGCTCTACATGCTGCCATTAGGATTGATTTTTAAGAGACACAACATACCTTTTCACTGTTTTGCAGATGACGTACAGATCTATCTGCCCCTTAAATCCATTAGCAAGGATTCTGTACAGCCACTGCCAGAATGTTTAAAAGATGTCAAATCCTGGATGGACACTAACTTTTTAAATCTCAATGAGGATAAAACAGAGATCATTATGTTTGGATGTGACCTCTCCGATTACTCCGCTGATTTTCTGGGCCCCTTCACTCCTAACATCCGTTCCTCTGTTAAAAATCTCGGTGTGACCTTTGACAGTGCTTTTAAATTAGATAAACAAATTAGATCAGTAATACAAACCAGCTTTTATCAACTCAGGCTTTTAGCTAAAGTAAAGGGCTATCTCTCCCCCCAAAATCTAGAGAGGGTAATCCATGCTTTTATAATCTCATGTCTGGACTACTGTAACTCGCTTTATGTCGTTATTGACAAGTCACTGCTACACTGTCTACAGCTTGTCCAGAATGCAGCAGCCCGCCTCCTCACTGGAAAGCGTGAACGCAAACACATCACAGCAATCTTGGCCTCACTTCACTGGCTTCCAGTGCGTTTTAGAATTGATTTTAAGATTTTATTGATTGTTTTTAAAGCCCTAAATGGGCTGGCACCCCCTTATTTAACAGAACTCCTGCACTTTCATGCTCCCTCCAGAGCCTTGAGATCAGCCAGTCAGCTATTACTGGCTACTCCTAGGACTAGGCTGAAGACCAGAGGTGGCTGCCCCAAGGCTCTGGAATAGCCTGCTCCTGCACATTAGGTCTGCCCAGACCCTAGAGGTTTTTAAGTCTTTTCTTAGAACCCACTTCTTCTCTCAGGCTTTTAACTCAGGTTGAGCTGGACACCCAAACATTTTATCTTATTTTTATCTTATTTTATAACTCTTGTATTTTATTTTATTGTATTTTATGTATCTTATGGTTTTATTGTGGTGTACTATTGGTTGCCTCATTGTATTTGCTTGTTTATTTCTATTGACCTGTTCAGCACTTTGGTCAACCTTGGTTGTTTTAAATGTGCTTTATAAATAAAGTTTGAGTTGAGATGAGTTGAGTTGAGTTGATTGTTCGTTTCAGTCTGTTCCTGTCCAGTTTGGTGTCAGATCCATGATCAGCACTTCCTGAGGCAGGTTGAGCTTCCTGAGCTTTCACAGGAAGTACAGCCTCTGCTGGGCCTTTTTCCAGACAGTGTCTATGTGGGAGGTCCACTTCATGTCCCGAGAGATTGTGGTACCGAGAAACCTGAAGGTGTCCACAGTAGACACTGTGCTGTTGAGGATGGTGAGGCGGGGCAGTGTTGGGGGGCTTCTCCTGAAGTCCATTGTCATCTTCAGTCTTGAGTGGGTTCAGCTTCAGGTGGTTCTGACCACCACCTCCTGTCTGTATGCAGACTCATCACAGTCCCAGATTAGACCGATGACCGTAGTGTCGTCCGCAAATTTCAGGAGTTTCATAGAAGGGTCCCCTGAGGTGCAGTCATTGGTATACAGGTCGAAAAGCAGTGGGGAGAGGACACACCCCTGGGGGGCGCCACTGCTGATGGACTGGGAGCTGGATGTGATGCTCCCCAGCCTCCAATCAGATCAGCTCTGATTGGAGCTCTTGATCAGTTATCCACCCCATGACTCATACTACTACTGCTAAGGAAAAAAACAGCCAACGAAGAGTTCCACATGCACTGTCTTTGTGAACCCGTAAAACCTCTGAATTTCAAGAGGGGACACAGAATGATACAGGCGGACCCAAAAGAGACTAAAAACGGCATGGGAGCTAGGTAGAAAAAAGTGCTGTTTCTATCAAAGGAGTCTGGGGACTGTGGACGGGGGCAGCAGCAAAATCTATTTTAGCCACATAAAAACAGGGTCACCTAAACAATATCCACATCAGTTTAAGTGGACACAATATTAAAAGTATTTTCAACACCTAACCATGCTGTCAGACAGCCCTTTACAACTGAAAACTGATGCAGTTACATGATGCTCTCCTAAAAGCAACCAGACTCCACAGAAAAAATCAGTAATTTAACCTCACAGAACACAATGAGTAGCTGGTCTTCAGCTGCACTTAAAATGGACAGTTAGTTTGTGTTGTTGAGTGACTTTTGGAACCGACCTAACCATGCCAGTTCTCTTGTCTGCTTCTCCAAACTGGGAGAGTAAAGCTGATAACACACAATTCCAAATGAAGGCTGAGTCATGAAGATCGTTCAGCGATGTTTACATTTTTTTTTTTATAAATTTACAAAAATGTCTGAAAAGATGTTTTCACTTAATCATTATGGGCTATTTTGTGCAGATTTCTTAAAAGAAAACCATGATCAAATCAGTTTTAGAATTTAGCAGCCAGAGTAGCTCTCCTGCTCTGGATCCAAGTATAGGAAAGAGCCAAAGTGCTGCATGCCCTGCCCCTGACAACAGGCCTGGAATAAGTCATTTTTAGGGCAAGGCCATTTTTGCATTTGATAAATACAAATTTATTGGGACATCACGGCCAAAATGTGTGGCACCAAGGCCTCTATGCAATTTTTACATAAATCCCCAATATTTTATTTGCCTTTAAAAAAAATCCTCTTCCTTCATTAAATTTGGCAATGTTTATTGTACTGTATTATATGCATTAATTCTCTACAGGATCTTGTATGTTCTTTAATGTGTGTTCAATTTATTAAAAGAAAAAAAACAATGTTTTGGTGAACCCTGCAGCAAAGTGAACCCTCTTCCTCAAAGAGGAACTTTGCCTCCCAGTTTGTCCCAGTTTCTCAGAGGATCTTTGTCCCATGAGAGCAGGCACTAACAGCTGCTCTCCATGTCCGCAGTGTAAACAACTTTCACTGGCGATTTGACAGTCACTAAAAGCACATTATGACCCTTTGTAAAAGTTTCTGTGTGGTACCTGTGTTGTACATGAGCTAACGTTAGCGGCTAAGGACTGAGAGGCTGTCTGGTATGTGTGTGTGTCTGTGTGTCTGTCTGTCTGAGGAGTTTCAGCACGTTAACTTGTTAGCCGTAGCCTTGCTGTTTGTCATGTTAATGATATCGTCGACAGCCCTGAATAGCTTGTACTTTAGCATAGTTAGTTACTGCTACAGAAAATTAAAAAATCTTTCATTTATTTGCACAACGTCACCTCTCTGCCGTCTTTTATCAAGCTTGCTAACGCTAAGTTAACTTTACCAGCAGATCTGTATGAGGCACAAACTGAGGCTACAGTTAGCAGTGTGCTGATGCTTAGTGGTATTTCTTAATCTTTTCTGTGAAACTAATGTGCATTTAATAAACATTCGTACATTATTAACATTATATTTTTAGGGGAAAATGCGAGGGAAAATACTCGCACCGTAGACCCATAAGTTACAGTAACGTCACATTGGACAGATACCAAAACCGAGTGCAACGCTATTACTAAATTATACTCTGATGAAAAGTTGGGAAAGTCAAATTTAGTTTGGAGCCCTGCCTAGTAATCTTTAAAACACACAGCTCTGTATTAATACTTACACTGTACAGCATTTAGCTGATTTCACTTCGGCCATTCACATAACGTTATCTGTTAATCTGTTAATCTGTTAATTGGTAGCTAATACTAGCATTTAGCACCCATCATCTTGTTTTTTTTAAAATATCTTCACGGGAATAGGAGAAATTTCGCACTACTTTTGATGTACAGTGTAATGACAGACACTAGGGTGCATGTAGTTTTGAATGAGAAAACTTTATTTTAAGGGCACAACGGCCAGTTTAAAACAGGGCATGCTGCACTGGCCATATGGGTAGGAGGGGCATTACGGCCACACTCTGGGGCATCCACGGCACTGGCCGTTTGGCCGTGGTATAATTCCTGCCCTGTGACAAGCAGTAAAAGTCCGGTAACCACTAGGCAAGGCAAGGCAAGTTTATTTGTAGAGCACAATTCGTACACAAAGTAATTCAAAGTGCTTTACAGAACAAGAAAATGCATTAAAATCACAATACAAAGTAAAAACATAAATAATCATTATAAAATGAACTTTAAAAGAGAAGAGTGCAGATAAGATCCTTTCAGTCATATGCAGTGAAATAGAGCAGTTTTGAGCCTAGATTTGAACATTGTCAGAGTAGAGGCCTGTCTCACATCTTCAGAAAGACTGTTCCAGATTTTAGCTGCATAAAACTGGAATCCTGATTCCCCATGTTTAGTCCTGACTCTGGGCACCAGCAGGAGGCCGGTCCCTGAGATCCTCAGAGTCCGAGATGGTTCATATGGCACTAACATGTCAGAGATGTACTTTGGTGCTAGGCCGTGGAGAGACTTGTACACAAGCAGAGCTGCTTTAAAGTCTATTCTCTGAGCCACAGGAAGCCAGTGTAGAGACCTGAGCACAGGACTAATGTGCTCGTACTTCCTGGTTCTGGTCAGGACCCGAGCAGCAGCATTCTGGATGTACTGCAGCTGTCTTACGGTCCGTTTGGAGAGGCCAGTGAACAGGCCGTTACAGTAGTCTAACCTACTAGAGACAAATGCATGGATAAGTCTCTCCTAGTCAGGTTTAGACACTATACCTTTGATTTTGGCAATGTTTTTTAGATGGTAAAAAGCTGCTGATGTTATTGATTTGATGTGGCTGTTAAAGTTCAAGTCTGAGTCCATTATTACCCCGAGATTTCTAACCTGATTTGTAGGTTTTAGAGAGAGAGACTGGAGGTGACTGCTGACACTTTCTCTTTGTTTCTGTGGACCAAATATGATGACTTCAGTCTTGTCTGAATTTAGCTGGAGAAAGTTGTTTTGCATCCACACACTGACCTGTTGGATGCAGTGACAGAGTGAATCCACTGGCCCATATTCACCTGCTGTCAGTGAGACATAGATCTGAGTGTCGTCTGCATAATTGTGGTAAGACACATTATTACTTTGTATTAACTGGCCTAAAGGCAGCATGTAGAGATTGAAAAGAAAGGGTCCCAGGATTGACCCTTGGGGCACCCCACAGGTCAAGGCAATGTGGTCTGAGACACAGATAACAGGTTTTGACCCAGCTTGGTTGACAGAGGGGAAATACTCCCCCTGGCTGTACAAGACTGATCTTGGTGAGTAAGTAAATACATAAATTTAAAGTCAGTCATGAGTGTTTTGAAAATCAGATTTTTTTTTCAGACAGAACAGCTTAATCACGTTTCTCCCGCATGAATTTTCATGTGTGAATGTAAATTTCCATTTTGTGTAAATGATTTCCCACAAACTGAGCAGCTAAACGGTTTTTCTCCTGTATGCGTTCGCATGTGCGTCTTCAAATGTCCACTTTGACCAAAGCTTTTGCCACACTCAGAGCAGCTCAATGTTTTTTCTCCTGTATGAGATCTCATGTGTCTCTTCAAATCTCCACTTTGACCAAAGCTTTTGCCACACTCAGAGCAGCCATACGGTTTCTCTCCTGTATGAGATCTCATGTGTTTCTTCAAATTTAACTTTAGACCAAATTTTTTTTCACATTCAGAGCAGCTAAATGGTTTTTCTCCTGTATGAGATCTCATGTGATTCTTCAGAACTCCACTACGACCAAAACTTTTGCCACACTCAGAGCAGCTAAATGGTTTTTCTCCTGTATGAGATCTCATGTGTTTCTTCAGATCTCCACTGTAACCAAATCTTTTCCCACACTCAGAGCAGCTAAATGGTTTCTCTCCTGTATGAGATCTCACGTGTACCTTCAGACCTCCCGTATGACTAATTTTTTTCCCACATTCAGAGCAGCTAAATGGTTTCTCTCCTGTATGAGAGCTCTCCTGGTCCTTCAGAATTCCACTATGACTAAAATTTTTCCCACACTCAGTGCAGCTAGATGGTTTCTCACCTGTATGAGATATCATGTGTTGCTTCAGAACTCTACTACGACCAAATCTTTTGCCACATTCAGAACAGCTAAATGGTTTCTCTCCTGTATGAGATATCATGTGCTCCTTTAGAACTCCACTACGACCAAATCTTTTGCCACACTCAGAACAGCTAAATGGTTTCTCTCCTGTATGAGATCTCATGTGTCTCTTCAGATCTCTTCTGTGACCAAAGGTTTTCCCACACTCAGAACAGCTAAATCGTTTCTCATCAACAATCAAATCACTGACAAGGACTTCATCATTTTTCAGAGAGTTTAAACCTGACTGAGGTTCTCTGGTCTCCATCCAACCATCACTGTCATCAGTCTCTGCTTGTAAATGTCTATCCAAATCTGAATTCCTGGCTGGTTCTGCTTCTCCACAGTCCTCTTCTTCCACTTCTGTCTTTATCTGCTGAGTGTGTCTTTGATGAAGCTGTGAGGACTGAGGTTTCTCTTCATCATCTTCACTCTTCACAGGGACAGGAGTGAATGTGAACTTGATGATATCATCCTCCTCCAGCCCTTGAAGCTGCTCTCCCTCCTGACTGATCCAGAGTTCCTCCTGTTCCCCTTTAATGTGTGGAGGCTCTGGGTCCTCCTGGTCCACACTGGAGCTCCACTCCTGCTGCTCAGGGGGAACCTCTTCTTTAACCACCGACAGCTGCTGGACGTCTGCAGGAAACAGGAAACACACACAAACACACGTTACAGAGAAATCATGTCTGGAGGCTACAGTGTGGCTCTTTATGTGCTCAGTCTAAAGTGAATTATGTGAGAATGATTGTCCATAGGATGCGAGAGTTTGCCATGCGTCAAGTTTTATTACTGGCAGCCTGAGTCAGTACAATAAAATTATATAAAAGATTCTTCAACACAAATGTGGTGTTTTACTCAGGAAAACAGAGCTTTGTATCGACATTATTCTTAGCCCCCATGATACCTTGCATGAATTATAGATGCAGCTTCCAGCGCTGAACCAGAACAGACGTTTTCCGATCATAATGGTACGGAACGGTACACTAACAGTTTGCTAATCCTCTTTTCTGGAGCAATTCAGAAATAAAACGTGGAACACACCACCTGTTTGGCTATTTTCCCCTCCGAAAGGGATCAGGACCCACGAGGCGTCACAACTCGATGAAGTTTATGCACTTTACTGAAGCTCTTCACACATACAGCTTCACAAGCTCTTTATGCATACAGTTATAAACCTAAAACGTAAAAGCACAAAAATAAATGAATTATCATCTATTCTTAACAAAATGAAAGTTTGTCATAACTTATTACAACTAATACATTGATTATTTTGCTCACCGTTAGCCCATGCAATCCTGACATGTGTATCTCACTGACGTTACTGACGCAGTAGAAAATACAAACTTGGCCAGCGGTCCCACAACTAAATGAGCCCCCCCTGGAAACACATACTTCATACTACATACATCTCTAGCGAGATGCAGTAACAGGACATGAGTGTTAGCAAAGGAGAGAGACAGACAGACAGACAGACAGACAGAGAGAGAGAGAGAGAGAGAAGGAGAGAAGGTGCTCGGTGTATTATAGGAGATCCCCCGGCAGACTTGGCCTATGTCAGCCTAACTAATCCAGACCAGGTCTCCCACCTGGGCATTCCTGGCAGCTTGGTGCCACTTGGGTCAGAGGAACAGGTTTAGGCCGGCCAAATCACTCCATCTTGTCCAAAACTCGTCTACCCCGGCCTGTATAGTCTTTAACCTGTGCCTGGAGTGGCCCTCCAAGTCGATCCCATGCAAGTCTCCTCCCTGTCCTGTATGTCCCAAGATCAGGGAATTTGGAGAGATGTACTCCATGACGTATTCCTGCTACTGAGCACGGGCGTCAATCGGCTGCTCATTGGCCAGGTTGGCTGCAGAGTGGAGAAGTCTGGCACTTCGCCCACATGAAACTGCCAATGGTCCCACCGAGACTGGTAAGTGCTTACTTGAGGATCCGAACGGCTGCCTTAGCCACTCCGTTCCTGTGAGGCAAGTCCGCAGGATGGAAGACCCACTTCCACTCAGTGCCGTTCCTGGCAGCCACATCCTCAACGGACGCCTTGTCCATACATGCCAGGTGCTGGTGTAGCTCCTTCAGGGCTGGCTTGGCGCCCACAAAGTTTGTCCCTCTGTCCGACCACAACTTCTTCGGATACACCCCTTAGGAAGCTCTCCAAGGACTGGTTGTCGACGACATCTACGTGGACCTCCCTGGACGCCATGCAACAAAACACCATTCCCCAAACCTGTACTTTCATCCTCTTCTTGACCATGTCCCTCAAAGGGGCCAAAGAGGTCCAAACTCGAAAGGGGCTGTTGGGTTCACCCGCTCCAGAGGGAGGTCACTTATCACTTGCTTACGTCTTTGCTTTTAGCTTTCTGCAGGCAATGCACTCATTGACAACCTTCTTCACTATTCTCCGACCCTGGACCACCCAGGCGTAAGTGTGGCAGCTACACCTTCATGATTCACCTCATGAGCTTCTCTAGCCAGCAGGGTCCCCAGCCACGCTCCGAACGGGAATAACGGTTCTGCTTTTCCATCCTCACTCCAGGACTGGACTCTTCCACTGGTTAGTAAGAGTCCTGTTTCTTCATCTTTGGTTACAACTAGCCTGTTGAGAGTCGTGATCTGGAAGTCCTCTCCATCCTGGGCTGCCAGAACGAGATCCTGGAAAGCGGCCTTTGGTTCCTCCATGGTCAACTAAATGAGTTCCCCCTGGAAACACAGACTTAGAAATGGTTCTCTCCCAAATCCAGACCTATTCTAAATGTCACTCTGGACAGGTAAGTATAAAAATAAAAACTCCTATGAAAATGACTAAAATAACTTACTTAACGCCCAAACTTAGTGCCTCAGAATAATACTAACTAAAATCTCTCCACACCACCTGTTACACCTCAGGCCTCAGACAACTTGATCATACCTCCGTCACCTCTGACTGCCATCTCACAGCATTTTTTGTGTTCCCTTTAAACCAAGTGTGTTTGGGTCTCACGTAGGGTTGCCACTGTCCCTTATTATACGGTAACATCCCACATTTGAAATGTACTGTCCCTTACTAAATGCTGAGTGATGGACCTGCCATTCTGTGTCATGCTCCCCTGCAAATTCTGATTTAACATTTCTCTGCTATGTTTCATGAAATTCCTTTGGTTTAATATTTCTCATGTCATTCCCAGTACATGAAAACATGGTTTATGCAGCAGTAACAACAGCAAAGGAGAGAGTCCAACCCCTCTCAAGGACTTGGGTTCCAGAGCCGGAACTATGTGTCGAGGTGAGGCCAACTATATCTAGCCGGTAAAGCTCAAAATATTCCACAAACTCCGGCTCCTTCCCCGACAAAGAGGTGACATTCCATGTCCCAAGAGCCAACTTCCGTAGCCGAGGTTCGGATCGCCAAGGCTCCCACCTTGGTCTGCTGCCCGATCCACAATGCACCACTCCCTTCTGGAGCCCTCTGCAGGTGGTGCGCCTGCAGGTGGACGAGCCCTAGGGCTGCACGATGTTGGAAAAAACTGACATTGCGATTTTTTTTTGCGATGTATATTGCAATATTAAAAAATACAAGAATTCTCATCAGATGACTTGAGTAGCTCTGTACCGTAACGTTTGTTTGAGTTCTTGCTTTGCACTCATCATATAGCGCTCTGTGATGGTGACTCAGGTGATCAAAAAGATCTGACCTGACATGCTGATGTGTTGTGTTATGGCCTATTCAAGTGCCGGAGTTTGTTATTTACCTGACAACGCCTGAACGCATCACACGCTCCACTCCATTAGTGCTGTGCTCAGTTATAACTGTCTCAGACTCGGGACGGGTCGTCTTCGGTCAGGAAAATGAAGCCCGAGCTATGTTCTAGTGTGTTCACCTGTGTGTGTGCACTTTGTCTGTGTGTGTGGGTGTGTGCGCATCGGGGCGAAACTCCGCCGTGCGCGATTCAGAGAGCAGAGGAGAATTGTAAACGTCGGTGCACCGCTGCTAGTTGCATATAGGGGAAACACTGCTCTTTTTGGTATGAGTTCTTCTGGGTCATCGTGTACAGTTGCTTCACATTCAGGACTCTCTCCAGCAGCCATTCTCGCCTCTAAACTTTTCTATATGCTCTCACTCTCACCCGCTCAAGTGTGCCTGTGGTGTGCAGCGGTGAAATGGGTCCCCGCTGAAACACTTTCCCGCCGCGCACATTCCGGACGTTGTTTGGGCTATTCACCGGTATTGCGGTATGTGAAAAATTCATATCATAACGAAAATAAATACCGGTTTTCGGTACGAACCAGTATACCGCCCAGCCCTATGTCCAATGTACTCTGATTTAATTCTACCATCTAGTGGACACTTATGCGAATACAATGTATACCGAATACTGTTACATCAGCTTCCCCTCCGAAACTGGTGAAATGGCTGCACCCAATAGTAAACGTCTTGGTACGTCACAAATGTACCTGTTAACAGGCCATTTCTGTCGTCTTAATGTGTATTTGACGTGTTAAGATGAACATATTTGACTTGTTAATACGGACGACAAAACAGACGTTTGGAACCCTTCCGGATTCTATAAGACAACAACATCAGAGAAGCTAACGACACCAGAGAAGCTAACGGCACCACAGAAGCTAACGACACCAGAGAAGCTAACGGCACCACAGAAGCTAACGGCACCACAGAAGCTAACGACACCAGAGAAGCTAACGGCACCACAGAAGCTAACGGCACCAGAGAAACTAACGACACCAGAGAAGCTAACGACACCAGAGAAACTAACGACACCAGAGAAGCTAACGGCACCACAGAAGCTAACGACACCAGAGAAGCTAACGGCACCACAGAAGCTAACGGCACCACAGAAGCTAACGACACCAGAGAAGCTAACGACACCAGAGAAACTAACGACACCAGAGAAGCTAACGGCACCACAGAAGCTAACGACACCAGAGAAGCTAACGACACCAGAGAAGCTAACGGCACCAGAGAAACTAACGACACCAGAGAAGCTAACGACACCAGAGAAGCTAACGACACCAGAGAAGCTAACGGCACCAGAGAAGCTAACGCGGCATCGACAGACTGAATATTTATTGAACAAACCTGCAGTTATATTATTAATAATGAACTTGTAATGTTTAATGAACAAACCTGCTCTGTGTAACCGAAGCTGAGGGTTGAAAACAGCGTCCAGTAGTTTCCGTTGTCGCTCGTTGTCCTCTTTTGATCGACAAAGTTCCTCCTCGTACTCTGCTATCGTTCTTTCAACCAGCCCAAATATCTCTTCGGCAGCCGCAGTTAGTCGCTGCTTCACCAACGATCTCAGCATTTGGACTTTAGACATGTTCACACTGTAAAAACACAACAAAGACACTCTGCTAACACACCTTTTTACCAGACACCATATTGATCAAACAGTGTGACGTTCGCAACAGTAAAGAGTACAGCTTCCGGTAGAGATGAGTTCATAGGCTTCAAAATAAAAATCCAGAAGTGTTATATGGAATTGCAGGCTTACTCAGAAAAACACTCAGGTGGATAAATGATGAAAATACACTTATTCATTTGATTTCACATATGCAATAGTTTTTTAAGTAGTATATAAGCAACAGAAGCATGATGGAGAGATGCAAAAAATCCTTGGAGTGACTTTATCGAGGCACCTTCCAGTGTATAGCCTAATCCATCAGTTAACTCAGTAAAATATTACAACAAAAGAGAAGGATATATATATATATATATATATATTAATCAACATAGCAAGTGGTATATGATCAGAAGTAGCTCGCCTGTAGATGATCTCTATATTAATCAGGGAGGCATGAGCATCTGCTGTAGACATACAATGATATAACCAAGAAGTCGTCTGCCACGCTACACTGACATAGGTAAAACTGTTATCAGGCAGTATTGCTTTACTCGATAGAATTAAACTGTTGTCATTACAAAATCCTAACAGGTGGTTTGCAAAAATAGAATTACTGTCAGACAAGTCTACATTATAGTCCCCAATGACATAGATACAAGTTGAACCATTGTCCTCAATAAAAGAATGAATAAAAGCTAGCCTGTGCAGAAATTCACCCTCTGACTTGTAAATATTTAAAATTATGAACTTCTTGTGGTTCAAATGAATCTCTAGCCCAATGGCCCAGTCCACATCAAGTCTAACCACCTTCACCAGGGGTCATATTTAATATTCCAAAGGATAGCCACTCCACCTGGTATTCTACCATGGACTTTTTTTGAGCTGAGGTCAGTGGTAGACTCACCAGCACCATTAAAGTTGTTATGCAGTGTGTTAAGTTTATCAAGGTCTTGTTTGGCAAGCCAAGTCTCTTGTAAACATAAAATGTCACACTCATCAAGCAATGTGTCCATGATCAGTCGTCTTGATTTATCCGCAGCAGTGTGTCCCACACGCAAGCCGCGCGCATTGTATGACACAACTCGCATGTTCATAGTGCAGGGGGTCCGCCAACCACTGGCCCAGAGTCAGCAGACTGGCGGGGTACCTGTGCGTCACGGCTGGACAGCGGTGTAGAGCTCTGATAGCGGGGATGTCCATCGGATTCATACGAGTCAGCCACTCTAGGGCGGCGTGGTTGGTAGTAGCGATGAATAAACAACCCAGCTGGCCAGAGCTGCGGGTCATACATCTCCTTAATGTTGTTGCATTTAGCGGTGACACAAAAATAGCTGAATCTACTTTGTACAGAGTCAATTTTCCGAACCTTGACATCCCTACCCAGCTTCTCTTTCAAATAGTCACAGAGTGTGTCGGCAGCCAGGTTCAGATCAAACTTTGTCGCAAAAACACTGACCATCTTTGTCTGTACCGCTTATATCTTATTTTCTGTGCCAGTCCCAATAATGCCAGTTTTCTTCCGCTTTCGTCTGGCTTAGGGTTTAAGCCAAGCGAGGTTTGTGTTGAGTGGTGGAATTTTCTGAAACTGACTTGGGGCGATGTCTTCTTCGTGCCACTTTGCACCATGAGCCTGCAGGAGACTGGGTTTGGCCCAGCGGTGGTGCCTGGGGTACCGGAGCTGTGGGCCTACACTCCATTATGCTTGCCCGACTGTCACCTCTGATATCGAGACCCTAGGTGTTAGGAGGGCAAGGCAGCTTCTCCACAGCAGACAGTCGTACATCGAGGGCAGTAGTCATTTCCCGCAGCCTATCGCAAGCAGTCATCTGCAATTCTAGAGTGCTTTTCATACAGCAAATGTAATTATTAATTTGCTCCATTCTCCCCAGGAGGGCTGAGACATCCATATGATTAAATGAGACACGTGGGAGCTCATCCAAAAAGTGCGAGACAAATCTAGGAATATCTTCTCCGCACTCGTTTAGAACTGTCAGGCACATTTTAACGTTGCTAAGGTCCTTTTGTGCACCTTTTTGGGAGACACAACGTTGGGAGGTATTTGGAGACACCTCAAACAATGCCTTCTTCGAGGATTCAATCCGCTTAGAGCTAAAGCTGTTTGTCACCAGCAGAACTATGTCGTCGTGACACAAAGTTCTCATCTTGACCGCAATGAAGTTCAGTAGTTCATCTTCTACAATCACTTTACTGTCATTCATTCTGAATATCTCTGGTTTAATTTGGGAGAACGCTCCGGCAGCACACTGTGCACCTCCAGCCGCCATGACGGCTATAAAGGCTATTAGCTATATGGCTATATAGCTATTAGCTATAAAGCCTGATGTTATTTACCTTATGTCATTTCTGTCTCTACATAGTCACACGTTTACAATTCTCCTCTACTGTCTGTATCGCGCACAGCAAAGTTCTGCCCCGATACACGCAAAACCACACACAAACTCATACGCTTGCACGCACACACACAGAGGTGAGTGGCTGCATCTTCAGATCCGAACGAGACAATTATAACCGAGCCCGGCCCGATCCTGCAGCACGGCACTGTGTACACAGTCAATCAAGCGGAGCCTGTGTTGCATTCAGGCGTTGTCACATAAATAACAAATTCCAGCACTTGAGGAGGCCATAGTACAATAGCACAGCACTGCTGCTGCCGCTGCACGCTGCCATTTTTTTGTTTGAACCGATGCATCAATGCAAATAATTTGCGTCGACATATATACGTCGCCCCAGCCCTCAGCCCCTAGCAGACAGTGCCATTTGTTCCCCCCAACTTTTTTTCAGGAAGGCTCTCAGTTGTAAATAACAAAAGTGTTTGTTGTATAAATCACATTTTGCTTTTAGCTGTTCAAAGGACATGAAGATGTTGCTACTGTAACACTGTTCAATGTATCTTATCCCTCTGTCATACCAAAGCTTAAAAATTGTATTATCAGAGACCATTGGTATAAGTTTGGTTTTCCACAAAGGTGTTTTAGGTGACAAATCATTCCTCACTATGAACCTCATACCACGAGCTAACTCGGACAGTGAAGAAGGCTTTCATTGTATCCCACAATACAAAGCTACTGGGGGAAGAGGCACTGTTTGTTTCACAGACGAACTTAATTTGGTTTCTCACGAATTTACAATAATCAGCTTTTTTGAGTAAAGTTGGGTTCAGCTGCCACGTGTACAGTCCCTGGATTTTTTCAAGTATTAACAATGAGAGTGTTAGTGGGGAATGGTCTGAAATGATCCTCGATAAATATTCAGTTTCCATAACTCTATGGGTTAATTGGTTAGATGTAAGAAAAAAAAATCTATCCTCGTATGAGAGTTGTGGAGACACGAGTAGGAGTAGTCTGTAGTAGACCTGTCTAAAATTGGGTGGCATGTCATTTCTGTCTCTACATGGTCGCGCATTTAAAATTCTCCTCTGCTCTCTGCATTGATCAGGGCACGCGCACACACATGGACACATGCGCGCACACACAGATGAGCACACTCCCACCAGCCGACAGAGAGCACTCATCAGAAAATATGTCGTGTCAACCACCTGAAAAGCAAACAAAAATATCTGCATTTTTATAAACACTCCCAGGGTGGTGCAGATGGCAGCGCTCGCTCTCCTGCGAGTAGCAGCCAGAGTTTCTCTCCTGCTCTGGATCCAATTACAGGAAAGAGCCACAGTGCTGCATGCCCTGCCCCGGGCAAGCAGCAAAAGTCCAGTCACCACCGGATAACAGGTTTTGACCCAGCTTGGCTGTCAGAGGGAAATACTCCCCCTGGCTGTACAAGACTGATCTTGGTAAGTAAGTTAGTAAGTAAATACATACATTTAAAAACATACATACATACATAAATGTTTGGGTCCGTGTCAGTTCGCCCGCCCCAGCCCCCAGTTATCGCGGTATTGATGAAATGTGCTCAAAATGTTCAATAAGTAAATTTACACACATTGAAATCATTTAACCAAGTTTTATTTTGAAAAACAAATAACATAGAGAACACAATGTATTTTTTGTCTAACATAAAGTTGAGCATGTTTGATTTTCATTTTGTGTTCAGGATTTCTCCCATCACAGCTGTCACTTTGACCAGTAGAAACACAGAGTCCCACAAAATGAACAGCTAAATGGTTTTTCTCCTGCATGCATTCTCATGTGTTTCTTCAAATCCCCACTTTGACCAAATCTTTTGCCACACCCAGAGCAGCTCAATGGTTTCTCACCTGTATGAAATCTCATATGTATCTTCAGGTATTGACTGTAACCAAATCATTTCCCACACTCAGAGCAGCTAAATGGTTTTTCTCCTGTATGAGATCTCATGTGTATCTTCAGATGTGTACTTCCACCAAATCTTTTCCCACACTCAGAGCAGCTAAATGGTTTTTCTCCTGTATGAGATCTCATGTGTATCTTCAGATGTGAACTTCGACCAAATCTTTTTCCACACTCCGAGCTAGGGTTGGGATCCGGATCTGGTTCTTTTTTGGAGATTTTCTGCAAACAGTTCCTAGATTGTAAAAAAAAAAAACGTCACGTGCATTTCCATTAGAGTGCGGCACGGGCCACATATTTCTGTCCGAGCCCGACCGAGCCAGACATTATTTAATTACTAAAGCACTGAGTTTGTGTCACACAGTTGTTATGGTTACAGCCAGGCTATTTAACAGGCCGGGCGTGTGCTGTGGGTGCTCCAACGGAGAGGGAGACCTCCGTGTTTGAGACGGGAGCGGGCGGCGGGAGGTCCGATGCTTCCAGCAAGGAGAGCGGTAGAAACGAACAGCCAATGTGTGTGTGTGTGTGTTCTGTTCAGGTGTTGTCACGTGAATAACAGTGCCCAAGCATATAAGTATTTTTATTATATTTCTGTGGTTAATTTGTGGTAATTGTGTTACTGTAGAAATCAGAGAATCACTTTTTGTTGTTATATATTCTCAGGGAGATGATACAAGCTCTAAATCTGAAATACACACCACACACAAATGTGTATTTTCATCTAATTGTACTGTGCAACAGTTAGAATAAAGTTTTTGTATTAGAATGATTGCATTTGTGTTTATTATATACTTGTTTAAGTATAGCAAGTATAATGAATATAATGTAAGAATCGGTAAGAAGAATCA